GGCAGGCTGGTCTCGAACTCCTGACCTCAGGTGATCCGCCCGCCTCGGCCTCCCAAAGTGCTGGGGTTATGGGCGTGACCCACCGCGCCTGGCTGCTGTCTTACTTATTAGGTGTATTTCGTATTGTCTATTTCCCCACCCATACCCCACTGTAAGCTCCTCAAGGCAAAGATCTTTGTTTTGTTCATTGTTATATCCCTGGTTCCTGCAACAGTGCTTGGTATATGGTAAGAGTTCCAGAAACGCATGAAATGAATGCATGAGAGTTGAGTTTGGGGCGCCAGTGAGCCGCTTGGTTGAGAGGCCCAAGAGATGGTGGGATGTGCAGCGAGTCAGCTTCTTAGGAGGGCAAACGACCAAGCTGTTCTTCTCCTCATCTCGGCTGGTCAGCGTACGGTTCCCCGGCTGGAGGGGTTCTTTGTATGCCCACGTGCCGGGTGAACCCCTGCACTGTCCGCAGCCCAGCCGGGCACCGGCGAGTCCGCAGGCGAGGCGCTGCCCGAGCCTCCCGCGGAGGAATCGGCGCATCCGCGGGGCCGGGCGCACTTCTGCCACTAGATGGCGACGCAGGACAGCTTTCTCGCGCGGCGCGAGTCTGCGGCCTGGGCTGCGGCTTCTCAGGCTGGGTGGGGTGGGGGTGGGGGCGTGGGCTGGGGTGTAGGGTGGGAGCGTGGATCTGGACGTTCTTCGGTTTCGTCTGGCTCCTTGCAGCCAGGACCTTGTGGCCCTGGCTTCCTGCTGTCCCGCTAACCCTCTCACTCGCCGCCTGGCCTGGAGGCGTGGCTGGGGAAGCTGAGGCAGAGCCACCAGGCTGGGCTGCCCAGGGCGGGAGAGGAGGTCCCTTCCTGAAAAGTGTGCAAATGACAGCTGGGCAGTCACTTCAGGGAGCTGTGTGATCCCGGCAATCCCCTAACAAAGAGTGCCTCAGTGTCCTCATTGGTTGGATGGGGCTTGGCAGGAGAGCAGCCCCTTCTAGGAGAGGTGTGAGAACTGGAGGATCAATACCGCGCAGTCCAGTGGGGCTTGGGTGGGTCCGCTCGCCCAGGGCCTGCGTGCAGAGGGTGCTACAGCACTGCCATGCTACGTGCTCCCTCTGAGCAAGACGGGATGAGCAGGGGCAGCCACTGTTGGGCCCAAGCAGGTCACTCCACAGCCCACATTTGATCACCTGTGGCCTGCCAGTCTTGACTTGGCCCTGGTGAGTCCGGCTCTTGGGGAGGGTGGGGGGCAGCTCCTTCCTGTTCCCCTGTGGGAGGGTGGGTCATGAGGTCTCCCAGGCTAGTTCCCCATCTGGCATGACCCTGGGTAAGTAGCTTCACTTCTCTGAGCCTCAGTTTCCACGCTGGGTCCCTGCCTGCCCGTGATCCTCCCACTGGGGCCTTTGGCCACACAGAAGAACCATCACCCTAAGGGGCCCTTTGGCCCCCATTCCCTGTCTATGTCTCCTCCCAGGTTCCCTGGAACAGCTTAACCTCCTTGGGCCTGGGAGGCTGAGAGGCAGGCGGGCTTTCTGCAGCCCTTCAGAAGCATTCAAGCCAGGTCAGCGCTCAGCCTAGGTGTCTGGGTCCTAAGCAAGAGTACGTGTGTGAACGTGTTTCCTTGGCTTCCGGACCAGTGGCTCCCTGGAGAGGGGACTGTAGGGTCTCTGGGAGGTGGGCAGTGCTGGGGAGGGAGTTCTGGTCGTTTGGGGCTGGCACAGATGCCCTGGTTTCTTCAAGGCCTCAGCTCACACAGCTGTGTGCCCACAGGCAAGCATCCCTCTCCCCCAGTCTGTTTCCTCCTCTGAGGTTTGGGGGCTTTTGGGAGTATTGTCCCATCTTCGATACAGAGCAGATTGGGGAGGCATCTGGAGCTCCTGGCTCCTGTGGTCTGGAGGGAGTGCCTGCTCCGGAGCGGGACTGTGCCAGTGTACATCCGTGCGTTTGCACTCACTAGCTGTGTGACCTTGGGCAAGTCCTACAACTTCTCTGTACCTCAGTTTCTTCATTTGTGAGTTGACTATAATCATAATCCCTGCCTCACAGGGCTGCTGTGATGATTGAGTGTCAAGCACTGGGAATTCCACTGGGCACAGAATACACACTAGAGTGCGTAAATCAGTGATTGCTCTGTGGACAGCAGTGTGCCCATGAGACCCGGGCCCCTGTCTCTGGGTGTGACCTTCACACGTGGCTGCTGGATCTCCATGCTCTTGTGCTCACACACGGGTAGGTTGGAGGCCACAGGGAGGAACGACTGACAGCCTGGAGTCGCCTGTTCCCGTTCAGACGCCGCCTTAACCACTTAGCAGCTGTGTGACCTGGGAGCCTGCCTCACTTCTCTGAGCTTCGAGGGGGCGCTTGGGGTCTGTTGGAGGCGCAGTGAGAGGTGGCATGGAATGTGCTCAGCACCAGGCCTGGCATTTAATCATCTGTGCAGTCAACAAATATCTGCTGATTTTTGAGACGAAGTCTCCCTCTGTTGCCTAGGCTGGAGTGCATCGGCACGATCTTGGCTCATTGCAGCCTCCGCCTCCTGGG